CCATTCTTTCACAAATGTTTGTAGAAGCAGTCTGCATGCCTAGGGGCTTGATTTTATACACCTGTGGCCATGGAGGTGTTTGGAACACCTGAATCCAATGATTTGGAGGGCTGTCCCAATACTTTTGACAATATAGTGTATGTACTGTATAAAATGCCATACCTAGAATGACATTCCAAGTGCAAAATGATGATATGAGTCTGTTGCAGGTTGGAGGAAACATTTCCTCAGTCTACTCTCCCTCAGTGATCAGACTGCAACATTGTAAATTTGTCAACAAAAAGAGGACAAGGATTTACATAAATGTGTCATCTCTAAGCCAGCATCTAAGCAGAGAAAGTAGATACTGGAACTAGATGCTGATCCTGCATGATGCCTGAACAAAAATGGCACTGTCCTTCTGGAGATAAAAAGCCCACAAAAAATTTTATCTCCAGAAGGACAGTGCCATTTTTGTTCAAGCATCACACAGGATCAGCATCTACCAGGGGCGGACTGACAACTCATGGAGCCCCTGGGCAATAGAGGATCATGGGGCCCCTGTGTCTTTGCCCAAACTCAAAAAAGCCTATGAAAAAGGTACCAGGGGCATCTCATGGGGCCCCCTACTGACCCTGGGCCCTTAGGCAGTGCCTGAGTTTCCAAATGGTCAGTCCACCCCTGGCATCTACTGTAGTTCCAGTATCTTCCAGATGCCATATCTGGATTTGTAAACAGAAGCAATAACTGCTTTTTAATATTTTTTTTTACTGTATACTGTGACATGTCAAGCATTTATCCATACAATTTTGCAGATTTACTGAATGTTCTGCTTTAATTTTTATTTTTATCACATTTGTGTTTCTTATTAGGCAACAAGTCACCTCTCTTAACTTTGGCCTCGATAATGGGATCAGAACCTTCTATTCCCTGGTAGGTTCATTTGTAAATTGTATGAGATATGTTTAATCAGACTGTAGTCCTGGAGCCAGCAGAAGTGAGAGCTGGAAGACTTGCATCCAGATCTGTCAGTGGGATTAGAAGGATAAAACTGTGTTTAGTTCTATCATCTGTGCCAACTGGACGCTTGTCTGTGCTGTATAAACCTCACTGTCAGCGGGGATTCACTTATGTCATAATCCTCCTAATGATTAATACAATATCCTTCACAATGATCTTTATCTTCTATTGTAGGACCACAGCCGAAATGTAATTACTAAAATATATCAGTATATAACATTCGGACTTTGACTGCCCTGTGAGGACAGATGTGAGAAGAGTGCGTCATGATTTAAAGGGCAGGTGTCACCCAGAGAAGAGCGCTTATATACGTATCCAGACAGTAATTAGGAGTGAGCTTCCACCTAGTTTAATATGGCATTAGAAATATAATAGGAACGGACTTCTATTAAACTGGAACTGTATTTAAATGAGTGACTCATCTACCAGTGTACACAGGCAACGCACATACTGAAAGCTCCAAAACAGATGTGCAGATTATAAAACTGTATTAAAATGGACCTTTCAGTAACTTTAAATCTACATAAATACATTTTTAAAATGTCACAATAGACAGCAACTGTATAATTAAAAAGGAAAAAAAAAAGAGCACTTAAAGTGGGGCAGCCCAGTGGTTTAGTGGTTAGCAATTCTGCCTGGCAGTACTAGGGTTGTTGGTTCAAATCCCAGCCACCCACTTCCTGCCTGGAGTTTGCATGTTCTCCCTGTGCCTGTGTAGGTTTCCTCCCACACTCCAAAGATATGCAGGTAGGTTAATTAGATCCTGTATAAATTGTCCATAGTATGTGTATGTATGAATATGAGTTAGGGACCTTAGATTGTACACCCCCTGATGTGAATGTACAATATATATATATGTAAAGAGCTGCATAAATTGACAGAGCTATATAAGTACCTGACATAAAATAAATAAGTGATACTAAACCCACAACAGTAAAATCAGTCTGTATATGCAGTAAAGCGTGCTTGTTACACTCATGGTGGAACCTAAGGGGTTAATCATTGTGTAACAAAAGGCTGTTTGATCCTGTCTTCTCTGATCCTCCCCTTCTACTGTCCCCAGTCCATCTGCTGATAGACCAGAGCCGTGGGGGCAAGCTGCACATGCTCAACTTGGTGTGGATTGCTAGAGAGTTTTTTTTTTTCTCTTGGGAAGGTGCATGTGATCAGCACAGGGCCAATCAGCACTGTCCAGGCAGAGGGTCAGGGGTCCTGCAGCCTCATAGGACACTCAAAGGAGAATGAAAATTCCTCCTACAAGCTTTAACCAGTGCTCTGCTAGACACTGATAGAGGTCACAAGACTGCTATATACTGCTGATGAGAAAAGGTATTTAGCGGTTTATATTTACTAAAATAATTGCATTTCCATGTTCTGTGTACTGAGAGTGAATGCAGGGTCCTGGGTTTAGGAACACTTTAAACATTAAAAATAAATTATTTGAGCTCCAAATCTAAAGACTTTGTCTAGCCTGAGATTATGTCATCAGTCTGCTGCAGGCAGGAGGAAGCATTTCCTCAGTCTTTTACCCTCCATAAATCTGACTGCAACACTCTAACGCCCCTTTCACACTGGCAGCCGTGTTTACCGCTCCTCCGAAAAGCAGTCCATGGTGGATCTCTTTCAGAGGACAATAAAAGGAGGTTATCCATCTACCTGCAGTATCTCTATAGCAATGAACATATACACTATTGTGATGCGGTGATTGGCCCACAGCTATCTCATGATACCTAGGCAAATCACTGCATCCTATACCATGTGAATAGCTGTAGCTAATCACCAATCACAATAGTAAGCAAGCTGTCATGAATGTCATGAGAGGCAAAACATTTGTTTTTAACAGTGATCATCGCTGTTATAAGCAATAACAGTGTAAACAAAAATCCCTGATCACCCCCCAGAGAAGTACAGTGTCACTATGGTGACACTGAACTACTGTGATGAGAGTATGTAAAAAAAAAAAAATCCTAAAAAAAAAGAAAAGAAAAAGTTTATAACAGTGAATAAAAAAATGTTTTATTTTTTTTTTACATTATGTCACCAGTCAGTATTCCTGATCACTGTCATACCAGTCATGATGACGCTGTGCTGCATTGGTCATAGTATGTAAAATACGAATGTGAAAGAAAAAACAAATTTTATTGATTTTCCAAAAATTACAACTTCAAAAATTTGGCCAAGCCTCTTACTAAATACATTGCACTGTCTACTTTCCACAAATGGGCCTTTCTAGGATATTTGTACTGTCCTGGCATTTTTCAGCCTCAAGAAATAATATAGGCCGTCATTGGGACTTCCTATACATACTGTATATAGTTCATTCCTTCCTTGCATGTATCAGTCTATTGATGTAGTTCAGTGTTCTCCAAGAATGAGGCAATGCCAGGCAGAAGATATGATGTAGAGGCCAGAACATAGTGGAGGTCATGACATGAAAGTAGTCATTGTTCTGGGAGATGATAGGTGATGGAGCTGATGGGGTCTCTTTGTAGTGAAGGAAGTAAATTGAAAGCAGCAGAACAAGTCAGATGCTTAAAATGAGAACCTTACTAGCTGCCTGTGTGCAGGGTGACCCCTAACCTCTCCCCATCCTGATTTAGTCACTGCTACATCTGTACTATACAGAGACATTCCTCTCCGACACACAAAGGATTCTGTCTTTATATTTCACATTGTACTACATTAACAACAAGCCAATTAGAATTCCGGAGCCAATCAGCCCAATCTAAGACACTTAAACCAATTCATTAACAAATTAGATAATGCATATGATCACTACAGAAACATTTACTTTTTAATTACCTTTCTGTTTCAATCTGCACCTAGTTGGCATTTCTTTAAACTAGCAAAAAACAAAAACAAAAAAAACCCCTACTTCTGTCTGTAGACATATTCTGTAATTGGCCCCCTCCCTACCCCCCCCGGAGGACTGCACAGAGCGGGAAGTCAAACGGCAATACGGCAAGCATCTCTTGGGCATAGCTAGGTTTTTCATTGGTAATCAAAAATTTTAAGGCTGGCCATAGATCTTTTTTTTTGATCAGCCAGCAGGCTGATTGAAAAAGATAAAAAAACAGATTCCCCCATCCACACAACTGAGGGATTCCCACATCGCCTCTGTCATTATAATACACTGGTCAGTGCCATAGCCGGTTGACTGCATGTGCTGATTGAAGCAAACATTTTCAGTGTACCACTCTCCTAGTTAGTTGGGGGAGCTAGATTCCACTTGTTAGCTAGTGCTGAGTAGCAGCCTGGGAGGAATAGCTAGCAGGGGTCAATTTATACTCAGGGCTGAGAGGCTCTACAGACCAGCCCTCTGGAATTTCCCCTTGCTTTAGAACTTTGCAGAAAGCTCTAGAAGCAGTGGGTGAATATGAGGAGTGGCTGATCTGCACTTTTGAGGGATCCTGGCCAATCCCCAACAGGAGGCTTGGCAAGGGATCAGGACTACCCTTAAAAGTAAGACAGAGAGTATGTGAGGCTGAAGGTAGGAGCCTATGAGGGGGTCCAGATGGAGAGGGGCTCACCTGCAGGAAGAGGCCTCAGAGCAAGGACCACCTGTGCAGCAGGGAAAGAGCGGCCCAGATGGAAGGTCTGGTCACAGCCACCGACCCACCAGCCACACAGGAGAAGGACTGAGTGAATAGGCCAGCACTCTGGTGGGAAGCCAGGTTAGCTGCCATCTGGGACTGTCCTATTGTCTTAAAGTGACAGACACTGGATCCACAGCTCAGGGATTCCTCCAGGCAGCCAGATAGAGGAGAGTCTGGGGTCTTGGGTGGTGCACTGGGAGGGGCTGGCAAACTGTCCAGAAGATGATCTTTTGCTCTACAGACTTGTAAATAGTTTCAGGAAGTTTGTCCTCAGTTCCAGTTCCATTGGGCATCCCGTACAACCCTTGCCCCATCAAAATTTTATTATCCCCTAATAAAACATCAAAACAAGCTCAGGAACTGGTCTCTGTCTCATGGATGCAAGTCTCAATGGAAAATGCGAGTCGCCTGGCTGTACAGGACTATAAGGGGACCCAAATACCCAGCAACTCCTAAAGTGAAAATGCTACACCAGCATTCCTGTTCGAGAGAAGTCGATCATTAAATTGACTTCTCTTGAGCAGGAATGGCCATAGATGGATCAAAACCCGGCTGGTCTCTGCTTAAAGTGTTACTAAACCCAGGACCCTGCATTCACTATATCCGGTCTCCCCGGACCCTGCATTCACTATATCTGGTCTCCCAGGACCCTGCATTCACTATATCTGGTCCCCCAGGACCCTGCATTCACTGGTCCCCCAGGACCCTGCATTCACTATATCTGGTCTCCCCGGACCCTGCATTCACTATACCTGGTTTCCCAGGACCCTGCATTCACTATATCTGGTCTCCCCGGACCCTATATTCACTATATCTGGTCTCCCCGGACCCTGCATTCACTATATCTGGTCTCCCCGGACCCTGCATTCACTATATCCGATCTCCCCGGACCCTGCATTCACTATATCTGGTCTCCCACAGTACACAGAACATGGAAATGCAATTATATTAGTAAATATAAACTGCTAAATACCTTTTCTCATCAGCAGTATATAGCAGTCTTGAGACTTCTATCAGTGTCTAGCAGAGCACTGGTTAAAGCTTGTAGGAGGAATTTTCATTCTCCTTTGAGTGTCCTATGAGGCTGCTGGACCCCTGACCCTCTGTCTGGACAGTGCTGATTGGCCCTGTGCTGATCACATGCACCTTCCCAAGAGAAAAAAAAAACCCTCTAGCAATCTACACCAAATTGAGCATGTTCAGCTTGCCACCAAGGCTCTGTTCTATCAGCAGATGGACTGGGACAGTAGAAGGGGAGGATCAGAGAAGACAGGATCAAACAGCCTTTTGTTACACAATGATTAACAAGTGCTGTCTGCGTCAAGCTGAGCACTGGTTAAAGCCTGTAGGAGGAGTTTTCATTCCGCTGTAGGAGGATGCAGGACTCCTGACCCTTTGTCTGGACAGTGCCAATTGGCCCTGTGCTGATCACATGCACTCTTACAAGAAAAAAAGCCTCCCTAGCAGTACCCCACCAAACTGAGCATGTGCAGAGTGACTCCACACAATATGTTTTATGAGGAGACAAGAAGGGGGAACTGGAAGAAGGGGAGGATTAGAGAAGATAGGATCAAACAGCGTTTTTACACATTGCAGAGGATTAGCCCCTTAGGTTCCACAGTGAGTATAACAAGTATACTTAGCTGCATATACAGAATGATTTTACTGTTGTGGGTTTAGTAACGCTTTAACTGGCCAAATTGCAATCTATGGCCAGCTTAAGGCAGAGGTGGCTTTCCTCTGAAACTACACTGGCTATCACAATATTATCAGTTGCCCCAGATTCTACTGTAATGTTTACCCTGTGACCGCGCTCTCCTCCTTTTTTCTGCTGCTACATAGGTGCATCAGAAGCTATTGCCTTCCATGGAGCCGGGTGACAGTCAAGTAAAGGATTTAGCTGGCCAAAGACAGATCAAAATTTGTCCGGTTCAGCAGGAACTGGCTGAATTTTGATCAACCTATGAGTAGGCTGGTATGAGCGAAGTCGATCTATTGAACAACTTCAGTAGAAGCAGCCTGTTGGTTTTTTGGTTTGTACAATCACTGCAGGCAGCTATATCCCCCAGCCATGATTTTTGTATTCTGATGGTGGGGAAACCTCCCGCTGTCAAAATACAATAGCACAGCAGGAGGGAGTCAGTGTTGATGGGGGAATCAAGCAAATATTCTTCAGTCCCCATTTAGTGAATTAGTGCCCCAGGGAAAATGCATTTGCATAGAGTGGAGTGAGTTGAGTGAAATTGATTTCGCTGACACATCATCAATTTTTTGCTGTTGGCAAAAGTTCTTTGCAGCAGAAACTAATTTTTAGTCACTGAGCTGTTTAGGTGACATTTGCTGTAAAAAAAAAATCTACTCTTGTCCATTTCTTTATTTAGAGCACATATGTCAAGCACAAGGCCCATGTGCTCAATCCAGCCTGCCAGGCTTTGTCATGTGGCTCTCGCACCCAGTTTTGCAGCAGTAATGTGGCAGAATGGAGTTCCGTCATCTCCGGCTCTCACCCTCTGCTCCCGCTCCCCACTGTCACTTGTAAACACAGACGCCTTCTCTGTTTACAAGGGACAGCTTTGCTCTCAGTGGTTCCCTAACAGATCCCTACACATGCTTATGGTGGGGCACTGCAGAGACAGATCTCCAGTATCTGAGGGAGACAACGATCTCCCTGCAAACTCTGCCCTCTGTACACAGTACACCCCTGAACTCTGCCCTCTGTACGTAGCGCACTCCTGAACTCTGCCCTCTGTACGTAGCACACTCCTGAACTCAGCCCTCTGTACACAGTACACCCCTGAACTTTGCCCTCTGTACGTAGCGCACACTCCTGAACTCAGCCCTCTGTACACAGTAAACCCTGAACTCTGCCCTCTGTACGTAGCACACTCCTGAACTCAGCCCTCTGTACACAGTACACACTCCTGAACTCTGCCCTCTGTACGTAGCGCACTCCTGAACTCTGCCCTCTGTACGCAGCGCACTCCTGAACTCTGCCCTCTGTACACAGTACACCCCTGAACTCTGCCCTCTGTACGCAGCGCACACCCTGAACTCTGCCCTCTGTACACAGTACACCCCTGAACTCTGCCCTCTGTACGTAGCACACCCCTGAACTCTGCCCTCTGTACGCAGCGCACTCCTGAACTCTGCCCTCTGTACACAGTACACCCCTGAACTCTGCCCTCTGTACGCAGCGCACTCCTGAACTCTGCCCTCTGTACGTAGCACACTCCTGAACTCAGCCCTCTGTACACAGTACACCCCTGAACTCTGCCCTCTGTACGCAGCGCACTCCTGAACTCTGCCCTCTGTACACAGTACACCCCTGAACTCTGCCCTCTGTACGTAGCGCACTCTTGAACTCTGCACTCTGTACACCGCACACCCCTGAACTCTGCCCTCTGTATGTAGCTCACTCCTGAACACTGCACTATGTACATAGCTCACCCCTGAACTCTGCCCTCTGTACACAGTATACCCCCCGAACTCTGCCCTCTGTACATAGCGCACTCCTATACTCTGCACTCTGTACACACACCCACTCTGCCCTTGAAGCTCACTCCCTCTGTATGTAGCATACACCCCTGAACTCTGCCCTCTGTACGTAGCACACTCCTGAACTCTGTACTCATTACACAACACACTCCTGAACTCTGCCCTCTGTAGACAGCACACCCCTGAGCTCTGTAAATAGCGCACTCCTGAACTCTGTACATAACACACTTCTGAATTCTGCCATCTGTACACAGCACACCCCTAAACCCTGCCCTCTGTACACAGCACACCCCTAAACTCTGCCCTCTGTATGTAGTGCACTCCTGAACTCTGTACACAGCACACCCCTGAACTCTGCCCTCTGTACGTAGTGCACTCCTGAACTGTGTGCACTCCTGAACTGTGCACATATATTGCACTAATGAACTCTGCACTCTGTATGTAGTGCACCACAAATACAATCAGCCCTTTGAGGGCGACCATAAGGCTGATGCGGCCCACGATGAAATTGAGTTTGACACCCCTTATTTAGAGATTATAGTACTTTTTAAAATGTTTAATTAGTATAGTTTATTTATTTATGTGTATTCCTTTTTTCATGAGTGTTGTATACTGTCACTTCAAATATTTTATATTTTCCATTTTTTAAGTTGGATTGGCGCTTCTGTAACTGTTCCTCTCCTCTCCAATGTAAGCACTGAAAGTGTGATCTCTGTAATTAATCCAGTTTGTGGGGAGATAGCTGTATTTATACTCCCAGTAGAATTGGCAGACAGTGACTCAATCCAAAGTAACATCTTGCAGATCTTATAAAGCAAAAAACTTGTGCAGATCATAACAGATGAACATTAGATAGGTGAACAAATCATAGTTTGTCTAGCTCCAGCAGAATACAGTATGTGTGATGAATGGAGACTAAAGCGTGAAGAGGGACTAACTACATAGAGCATCCCCTAGCTAAGGAGTGAGGTAAAGAACAAAATTATGTAAAGGCAAACAATAATGCATGTGTAGTATGATAGCAGCTTTCAGGAGACATCTAAAACCCATCTCCAGAATTCAATAAAATAATTAAAATTAACTGCTTGTTTATGCTAGGAGAGAGCAGAAGCACTTTCACTTACCTAATCCTCCTTTTCCTGGCAATCAACATTCCTCATGTTCAGGTAGTGGATTGTCCTTCTGCATCATCACGTCCAATGCAGGGCTAGGGACCCTGTATCTGTCTTAATGACATCAAGACCATAGACTACTTAGGCATGGGGTAGAGGATGCAGTAGGGACCAGTCTAGCAGCACGAAGGAGTAGAGGGTAAGTAAACCTACTTTTTTATGCCCCCTAGACCCCCTTGCACACACACTGCAAGAGAGAATTTTCAAGTTTCCTGGAGTTGGGCTTTAACCACTTCAAGTCCAGACACTTTCACCCGCTTCCTGTCCAGGCCAATTTTCAGCTTTCAGCGCTATCACACTTTGAATGACAATTATGTGGTCATGCAACACTGTACCCATATTAATTTTTTAGCAGTATTTTGAGACCGATAAAGCTTTATTTTGGTGGTATTTAATCACCGCTGGGATTTTTATTTTTTTTGCTATGTAAATGAAAAAGTCCAAAAATTTTGAAAAAAGTGTTTTTCTTATAAAATTTTGCAAATAAATAATATTTCATCATAAATCTTGGCCAAAATGTATTCCGTCATCTTTTTAGTAAAAAAAAAAAAAAAGTAACACAAATTAGTTTATAACCAAAAATTATAATTTTTTAAAAAGTTTTTTACATTTTTATTTTATTTTTTTATAATATTATTTTGTTTTTCCATACTGTCACCCTAGCAGTACAGTGTCACCATGGAAGATTTTTTATTTTTTTACACTGATTGCTTTTACACCCCATAGGCTGTAAAAGCAATAATTTCTCCTTCTCTCTGGCTGCATTCTTGCAGCCATTGAGAACTACTGTGTGAGCTGTGATTGGTCGCAGCTTGTCACATGGTACAAGGCTTTTGTGAATAGTTCAAAGATTTCACACGTAGTAAGCAATGATTTCAGAAGTGACATCTTGCTTACTACTCTGCATGTGATCACTGATTGGCCAATCAGTGATCACATGATCGGGACCTCGCAGAGAGGTCCTGTCTGACGATCAGTGTTCCACTGTGTCTGGAGGACACAATGGGCACCAGATCGCGGTGCTGTGCGCTCCCAGGGAGCGCGCACAATCAGGGGGTGGGGAGGTCGTTTATAAATGGCCACTTGACCTTGCAGTGCCACCGTACGGCCATTTATATACATTGGCCGGACGGGAGTTGGTTAAAGGATAACTAAACCCATGTAATAAAATGAAACTTACAGCTCTTAGATGTGGCGGCTGCA